TTAATAACACAAATTAGTGTTTAATTAAATATAAGAAAACAATGGAAGAGAAAAAGAAAAGAAGATTAAGAAGATATAACTCTAAAATTATATGAATATAATGCAGTTATAAACATCATACAATTAATCTATCAGTATTTGAATGGAAGAGTAAGAGATGGGACAGATAAGGGAGGAGAAGAAAAATGAAAAAGAAGAAAGGGAAGAAGAAATGATCAGGTTAGAGTGTTTTGGATATATATAGACTATTTTACCTATGTGTGGTATGTCGGAAATAATTTTACCGACAAAACCCACATAGGTAACTAACCTAAAAGCGGGAATCCAAAAAAGCAAAAAATTTGCATTCCCGCTGAAATTTACCAACTAGTTTTAACAGACCAACATTGATATATAATCTAAAATTTATTCAAAATAACAAATCTAACGATACTAATATCAAATACTTAATACTAAAATTTTATCATTAATTATTGAAATTCATTAAAAAATTATCAAAAAAATTATTGGTAACTAAAAATTTAGCTAAAACAACAGATCTAACAATATCAATTAATATTCCATAAACTAATGAAAATGTTTGATAGTTTAAATTTTAGAAAAAAAAAATAAAGTATTTAAACTTAATGCAAAAAATATAAAAATATTTAAAAATATTTATGCTTTCTCACCAATTAGTTCACCTCCCCATGATGTATTCTCTTCTCTAATCCTCCCCAGATCTTCCCCTTCCTCCTCCACCCACCACTTTGTCTCTGACAACGACGGCAATCATAACCCACCTCTCCAAGAAGCTTGCCTCCACTAGATCCCATATTCCCTTTTAACCCTCAATTTCCAAAAACTGTTTCGCATTGATGGGTTCTGTGATTCTGGAACACTAGATGCAAGGGGATTTTGGAATTACTGATAAACCAATGGATGATTAAAGTAACAAACAGAATATGTAATTCCTTACAAGGTTGTGGAATTTTGGAATGGAGAAAGGAATGCGCAAATTATTATATAAGGGAATTAAGAGAACTAAAAACGCCACATTTTCAAAAAAAAAACTTACCCTGTTCAAAGGGCCAAAAAAAAAAAAAGGAAAAAAAGCAATAGCCAGGAAACGAAAATTGGGTCGTCATCGACATCCCTTTCCTTGCCTTTCAACATTTCCGTCACATCTTTAAAAAAAAAAAAAATTCCAACGTTTTTAGGCTTACATTCCATTACCAAAAGCCAAAAACTTTCAAC